GGGCGTGGGCCGCCGTGTCGCTCTATTTCAAACAATCCGAACAGGATCGGTCTCGCATCTCGGCATCTGATCTAGATGCATTGTTGGGCGACTCCGAACTCCGGGATTTGAAGAGCGCCTTCTGGCGTCGCTACAAGCTGCGGTTCCCCCCTGAGGTTCACCCTGCTGATGCCACGATTTCTCGGGTTACACGAGAACTCACCAAACGCATGTTGTGTGCGTACAACATTTGGCGAGTGAAATCTCTCCACTTCCAGCAGGCCACCACCCAAAAGACAAGAAAGATCGCTGATTCCTTGTATGTTGAGGAAGCTGAGGAAGACGAACCTGCCAGTCGAGATGCCAACTCCTACCTGGATAAGCTCTGGACCTTACTATTGGCCTATGCTATGGCGGGGTCCGCCGCTTGTGCCACAGCCCCTAGCGTAGCCGAGGGATTGGGGTCCAATTCCGTGGAGTATGTTGAAGTGCCGGTGGACATTATTCAACAATGCTTCTATCGAGCCAAACGGAGTGCGGCCCTGGTCCCGTTCAACCAGCGTCTTGAGTGGCTCCAGCAGCGAGACAATGATGAACGGTCGGAGTGGGTTGCCCGCTTTAGGGATAGTCAGAAGAGCCTAGGCCGTGTGATCCAAGAACTTTACGCTATGCGTGATGCCCACTGGTCGGTCCCAATCACCACAAGCGGAACCCCCTCGAGTCGTTCCACACCAGAGCCGGTTACCCCAGTGAAGTCTGACTCCAATCGGTGGACTTTGGGTAATCCCATCAATGGGCGCCAGGTGGCCAAGATCATCAAAGACGGAACTCGCCTTTGTCAGGCCTTCCAACATGGCCAGTGCAAGGCCAAAGCCAATTGCGCCAATGGCCAGCATCGCTGTGGCTTGGTCCTGCGCAAGGAGCGTGCTTGTGGAGCCCCTGGGCACGGCGCTGCGGCCTGTCGTGGCGGGAAGAAGTGATGGGGCCCCGAGGGGGAGGACGGGACGGACTCCCCCTTAAGGGACATTGATGCTCCCCGTCCCTTGGTTGCTGACCTGTTCTGTGGGCCCAACCTGCCGCTATCCAAGCCCTTCTGTTGGACAAGTCTCATGACCTTTCCAATCCGCTACGTCAGCAGTCACTTCATGATCAACTCTCCGAGGTCGACTTTATCTGTGCAGCTTTTGACTGCTCCACCAAGAGCAGAGCCAGAGAAATTCCGCGTCGGTTTGAAGATGGCCGCCCGTGTCCAGCACCTTTGCGCTCTGAGCAACATCTGGATGGACTGCCCACACTACAAGGACGTGACCTTCAGCGGGTCCGCGCAGACAACCAAGCCTGTGAGTTTATCCTCGAGGAGATTCAATTGCTCGCCGAGCGAGGCGGAGGGTCGGTACGAGAGAACCCTTGGCGCAGCCTACGTTGGTGGGGGTCCACCGAGCGCTCTATGATGGACACCGGCTGCTGGAAGGACAAACGCTATGATGCGTGCTGCCTCGGAGGAGCTCGTTGCAAGGCACAGTGCTTACGCCACAATATCGATGAGATCGATCAGTGGCCGCCACTTACCTGCCACCATTCTCATGCACCTCATGAGTGGACTCCTTACCTTCAGGACGGCCGGACGATCTATCCATCCAAAGAGGAAGCCGAGTATACGGCTGTCTTGGCCTTCGCTATTGCGGTCGCAGCATCGTGGTGGGCCGGGCGCGTGGGTCGCGCCAAGTTGCATGTTCCACGGCTCCCGCAATTCGAATGTGTCGGAGCCCTCGAACATTGGCTGGACCTGGACCCCCGCACATTACGGGAATGGGCGATGGCGCCCCTCGCCCTGGGGCTGGGCTTGTATCCACCAGATCCGAGTGAAGCTGCCCGGATCCCCCGTCGGGCTCAGGTGGATGACGTCCTCATCGAGAAAGGCAAGTTGCCGCCCAATCATGTCTACGTAGGCCAGGGCCGCGGCTCTCACCGTCTTGCGAAGACCAAGTGGGCATTTGCGGTTATCCCCGGCTTGAACAGTCAGTCCAATGATTGGTTGTGGCACTACGTCGCCTACCTCTATGAGTCCGGCCTGGTGAACAACCTCTATGAACTACAGGGCAAAGTGCTGGCCTGTGACTGTCCTTTCTGTGATCCTTGTGAGGCGGACGTGCTTGCGGGCCTGTGTTTTGAGACGAGCCAGCCACGAGGCCGTCACACAATGCATCGCTTCAGTCGGGGGGGGGACCCCACCAGCCCGCCAAGTTCTTGTTACGGGTCTGCTCAGCACAGTACAAGGCCTCCCAACGAGCCCTACACGTTGGTGGAGCCAGGAAGCCCTGACCCTCGCTTTTCGCAAGTTGTACCCAGCTCACTTCTTCACAAATTTCCAGTTTCCGATGGTCGAGGATATTGTCAATGCTGCCCCGTTCAATGCATTTCCTGTGTGGCTGCACAACAGGCACTACGAGACCGATGGGCCCTTGGGCCCGCACTTGGCCGACGCTCAAGTCCGCCAGACTCTCCGCACTGCCGAAGGTCAGCAAGTGGGCGCACTGAACCAGCGTGCAGCACTTCCTCCACTCCTATCCTATGACCTCAACCCTGATGAGCACTTCGCCCAAGCGTTGGCGCGAGGCCGAGATTTGCTACCTACCGAGTTACCAGCAGTGCTGGATCTGGACCTGGCCTTTGCTGCAGACTGCCACGCTCACTACCGAGGCCGTCTACGAGATCTTCGCCGCACAGCAGTGGGGGCACTGCGGGAGCTCCATCGGCGTTGGTGTGCCGTAGGACGACATCTGCGGCAATTTCAACCTATCGCCTTGCAGGCTACTACGGCCACTCGCGACCTCGGCTTCGTTGCACTGTTGATTTTGTTGACTTCATGGCCTGATGTCACATATCCATTCGGGCTTATTGAAGGCCTCCCAGCGGTGGGCTACGCGCCGTGCTACGGAGTCTTTCCATCTCAGCCTGCTGAACGCATTACCCTCACAGAGGTACTGTCAGGATGCGAGGCGCACAATTACCAGATCTTGTCTACCCTCAAGCCGGGCAAAGATGATCAGTTCTTGCTGGAACAGTCTACTAAGGATGCAGCACGGGGATTCTGTACCCCACCGTTGACCCTGGCACAGTTGCGTCAGCAGCTGCATGGGCAGCCGTATCGTCTGATCCCACGCTGTGTGATTACCCAATCCTCGGGTAAGCAGCGTATCGTCGACAATGCTGATGCTGGAGGACAAACCCTGCGGTCGTCCGATGCCAATAAACTGGTACTGTGCTCGCCCCTCAGACCGGCCCAACACATCAGCCAAGTCCTGCGCCATATGAGCCCACCCGAGCTAGCCCAAGCAGCAGCTACAGACACCTGGGAGTCAGGTGGGGAAGATTGGCCGGATGCCTATCGGCGCAGTCCTATGGGGGTCAACGAAACGCGGGGATGCGTGGTCACTTTCTGGCATCATGAATGGGCAGCTTCCAAGTCTATGCTGGTCTGTTGTTTGGTCTTCCTCTGGCTGTGACCTCATTCAATCGATACAGTCGGCTTGTGGAAGCCCTTGGGCGGCGTTTGTGCTACGTCTTAGTCTCGCTCTACTTTGACGATGCATCCATTCAAGACTGGTCTTCGAGCCGGGGGTCGGCTCAATGGGCATTTGGCGTCTTAAACCAACTTCTGGGCGCCCCCTTTGCGGAGGAGAAGCGCCAAGCCATGAACCCTAAGGGATTATTCCTAGGCCTGGACCATGATCTTTCTGCCGCCCTGTCAGGGGGCTTTGTCTCCTTTTGGGCGAGGGAACGCCTGGAATCCAAGTTGAAGGCCATCATCCATGAATGCCGTGAGACACAAACTCTCAAGCCCGGCGTTGCAGCCAAACTGTACGGCTTAGCCAACTTCTTCGAACAGGGCGTCTACGGACGGATTGGATGCGGAGGTCTGCATGCCATTAAGGAACGTCAACTTGTCCGGGGTGATCAGCTGACTCCCGCCAGTGAACAATGCTTCCAAGTTCTCGAAGCCGTGATCTCTATCCATCCAGAGCGTGAACTTGATGTCTGGCCACGACACCATGAGCGCTTCGTTGCAGCATCCGATGCTGCCGTGGAGACCCCAGGTGAAGGCACGGGTGGTTTTCTCCTCGTCTTCTTCCACGAGGACGTAGAGCTTCGGCTTGGGTTTGTGTCCCACCTCCCCTTGTCCATCTATGACCTTTGGACTCCGGGGGATGCCAAGATAGCGCAGCTAGAGCTCTTGCAAGTTCTCATTGCGTTGACTACCACACCTGAGCGATTCCGCAATCGCCGCGGCACATGGTACATCGACAACACTGCTGCTTTGATGGCGCTCATCAAAGGCAGATCAGACAGTCCTGACCTCGAACATATGAGTCACATGATTCATATTCTTTTGTTTTCACTTAGATGCTGGATTTACTTTGAGTGGATCCCCTCCAAAAGTAAGTGGAGTGATGCGATTTCCCGTGAGGGACATGCGGATAGATGGCACCACGACCAGGGTTTCACTAGTCGAGTGGCCACATTTTTCGAACCACTCTGGTATTTTCCCTTTTCCGTCACTCTGCGAGTCGGTCTCTTTCTTTAAAGTGTGTTGGGAGAAATGCATTGGGTAGATACATCGCTATGGATACGTCTGGGTGGACGAGTCTCCATAGATGGGTATCTAAGCTTCATCCAGGAATGGATGTGTGGCTATGAACACTGCTCACACTTTGTGAGTTTCCAACGCAACAACGTCAGGGCGACGTGCAGAGACCATAACTGCAGAGAGTGTCAGCGAAAAAGGGGG